GCTTCACCTTAAAATGCGGATGATCCACGGAGTAAGATAGTACTACTACTACTACTGCTACTATTACTACTAATACTACTGCTACTACTACTCTAACACCACCACCACTACTACTACTACTAAGCTATGGCGTTTAGCATATATTTTTTAATTTTACAGAGACTTAGCCGCCTAGACAGACTTCCTCACTGTCTCTGCATGCAGCATGCGTTTCGTTACGCCTGTACAGTAGTCGCCGGCTATTAAGCCCACCTTGGGCCCAGACCAAATTGGGCCTTAATAAGCGGCGATATTATTAACCGTGGGCTTAATAGCCGGCGACTACTGTATTTAAGTAGCTAGTGACCATATTACGCAGAAAGCACCGACTCTGAAGGGTAAGCTGTATAGTTTGGTTGTATCTGCGTTCCCAACATGAAAGCCAAATTCTTGTTCAGCGTCGGGCAGTTTGTAATGGCTTGATATCGTCATTCGTGTGCATTTCGCGCATTTAAAACTTCCAGGCTAGCTACAGTTTGGACAGCGTTTCTGACTTACACGACTTTCATTTTTAGCAACTACATTCATCCCCTGTTAGCGAAGACGTAAACACAGCTGGCCGAAAGACGTTACTTTGATCTGCCATGCAGCTATCGTTTTTAATAACTGGAACTAGGGGCGGCAAAACTGGCTTGTTGGGCCATCTAAATATATTTTACCCCACCCAACTGTCTAACGCATTTTCGGGCAAACATTTAATCGTTGGTTAGTGAGTGTAAATGAATATTTAATTGTGGTGGAAATGATCAAAAATATTAGATTAAAAATGTTTATCTTTGTTTCAATGTGCTAAAGATAATCATATCCCTCAACACAAACTCCTGCCGCTCAGGATACTGATGCAAATTGAGGGTATTTCCATCTTAATTTGGCGGACTCAACGAAAAAAAATTGAAATTTGACGTTTTATTGGCGGAATTTAACGAAAAAGGAAAGTCCGGTTACTGAAAATGTAAAAGTAGGCTATTGTTATAAGTCAAAGGCAAAAAATGACCTCTAAAAACAGTCCTGCCCTAGGAGCATTTCGTCTTGACTAAGGGCTTCAGCCTGAGACTGTCGTAAGCCGCCGCCGCCGCCGCCGCCGCGGCGATGAACAAGCCCTTCTTGAGAGATAATGTGCATAGTACAAGGGGAGGTAATGATAAACTTACTGTCACTTCACGTCGGAAAAACTGAAGGTTTGCTTGCAGGTTAAGATAGACAAGCTGAATAAGGTCACTCCAGTCTCTAGGGACTTTGTCAAATAGTCTTTCTCGATTGCTGCATGCTTGTCTCCGCTTGACTGCTTGCGCCAGCTCTATATGGTGACTCCAGAGCCAAACAAAACACCCGTATTTCGTACTGAAATTGGACATCTTGACAAAATTCGAAGGTTTCGGCTCACACGTCCAATATATGTAGAAGGAAGGCTCGTCGCAAAATGGAGTTGTACTCGTGAATTTTCGAGCTGGTGACACTAGCTCTTTGTCAGACGGAATGAAAGTGAGGGCTAGGATTGTCACATTAGAGGGTTTGGGGGCAGGGGTCACCTAAAACAAGGGTGATATATAGGGATGTAAGATATGAATATGTGAGCATTACCGATCTGGTAGTGAGACAATTAAGTCCTGCAGCTCACATTAGAGCCCGCGCAGGCAGTAACACAGCGAGTAGTGGAATAGGGTGGAATGGATCCGACAAAGCAAAGGGAGACCAAAATGGCCAGTTCTGCCTTATTAGCTGTCATCAGCCAGTCATACCCAATCTTAAGGGTTGGAACCCCCCTTAGTAATATATGTTCCTTTCAGTACTATGTAAAACAGCTGATTTTTTTATCTTTCCTATTAGACAAGAATAAGTATGTATAAAATTACTAATAATACTACAAGCACTTAATTTACTTAGGTCATGCTGAATATGCGTTATATTAATTAGACATAAAACTGGACTTTCCAAGTTATAACCTGGGAACTTCTGCTTAACATTACTCCTTCCCAGCAAAGTTAATAGGTCACGCGTCAACCAACGAATTCCGAAGGCCCGTGTTTAGGGTATTAACTGTGGACGACACAAGATAGTCAACGAGTGTTTGTACACAACATGACCGAGCCAGCCGTCGCTGGTCTTCAAAACCCCACCTCTGACAGCTGTGCTCCAGCCTATTTCGAACAGTAAACAATGGATAGCCTGTACATGGAGGTTTACGTTCTTTCTTGATGGATTCTGATAAGCATGTGCAGAAGGAGGCTTTTCACTGTGAATGCAACTAAGTCGATGGCTTTCACGGGAGCACGGTTGTGGTATATTGTGACGACATTTCTACCGTCAGTTCACTGACGAGGCCCACTGTTTGTGCCCCATAACATAGTGGGCGCAGGGACGCGGTGGCTTGCACCAGAGTTGGTTTATAAGGATAACAAAATTGCACAGCATCTACCGCACTATGGCCTCGCTCATCCACTTCAATCCAGGCTCGAATAAACCCTGCAGTACCCTGGTGGGGTAACTACAGTTTGATCCTCTGGTTATTGCTCGCTTATTGATTCTCAGTTTTGAGGCCCTTTTCTGCTGTAGGATTGTCTAACCCTAATTCTCCATTTAGTTTGAGGCTCGGAAGGAGGAAACCATGAAAATGGTTGGCTTCATCCGGACAGAGACAGTCCCACATCTCTTCTTCAAACCGCGAACCGACAACAAGGAGAGTGAAGCCCGCAAAGCAGCCACGAAGGAGAAACTTCTGGGTAAGTTATCCTTTTGTCTGGATCTCCCCCCATATTATCATTTTAGTCCCTTTGTCTGTTCGCATGCGATATGATATGAGAGTATCTGTGCTTGTGCCATGAAATGAGTAAATGTCTCTTGGTAAATAATACCTTTAATGGACTGTTCAGTCCTTCAACCCAACTGTATTTTAACACCGTCCCAAGGCTACCATACGCAGTCGGATCATAAAAATCAAGGACTGATTAAATCCCCGGGGAGCAGTCGGGCGTAGCGTATCGCATA